AGTCCTGGGTGTTCATTGGAAGGACTTATGCTAAATCTGAAACTCCAGTCCTTTAGCCACCTGATGCAAAGAGTGACTTGCTTGAAAAGACCCTGATGCTGGGAAAAATTGAGGGCAGGAGGAGAAGGGGATGACAGAGGATGAGATGGTTGGATGGCATCACTGACTGGATGGACATGAGTTTGAGTGAGCTCTGGGAGTTGGTGATGGACAGGGAGGCTGTGCTGTAGTCCATGGGGTCACAAAGAGTCGGACACGACTGAGCAACTGAACTGAACTGAATTAAGAGATGACCAGATCTCTTCTCTAGTTTCCTCTTCATAATCTCACCAACAAACTGTGTGAGCAAGATAATCTCTAAAGAAAGAGCACAAGTCTGCACACAGTGGGGCATGGTGATGACTCTGACCCCTCATCTCAATGGCTCACTGAGATGATTTCCCTTACTCCCCTTAAAAACTTTCACGGCCAGGCAGAATCATCAGAGTTGGTCTTTGAGGACATGAGTCTGCCTTCTCCACAGACTGCTGGGTTTTTAATTAAAAGCAAAATTTTTTCTGTTTTTACCAACAACTGCCTCTCAGGTATTGATTTTCTAGTGTTACCTGAGTCTGGGAACAAAAACAGTCTCCAGAGGTTGCGGTGTCTCTAGCGTTGCCTTCATTTTCTCTTGTTCACGCTATAACAAGAGCAGCCCTTCAGAAATGCAGTGGGTCCAGAATCCTGCTCTGCTCCAGGCCTTTCAGAAATATCCCTCTACTCTTAGGGACACGCTGACACCTTAGCAGGGGCTCGACTTCCTCCCAGCTCTTACTCTGCACAGCCCTCCACCCCGTTTCCTCCCACCTCTTTGTTCCGTTGGGCTTTTCCAGTCCCTCCAGCTCTCCAGCTTCAGGCCTTCCTCGGCTGTTCCCTCTCTGAGTCAGTCCTACCCTCCCCGGCCTGCCCCCGTCCTCTTCTGACCAGGTCGGCGCTCTCAGCCTCGGAGTGCTGAGCACGCCTGCCCTGCGTCTGCACCTGCTGCACTGTCGGCCTCCTGGGCTCCACGTGTGACTGGGCCCTGGCTGCCCCCCGGGACCTTGGCAGCACACGGCACAGAGTTGGTGCTGGATGACAGTGTGCTGAGTGGGTGCCTGCAGTGGCAGATTAAAAGACAGGCCGACTCAGCAGTCATGTGGAGAGCCAATCGATACAGGACGCTCAGAACCTAGCAAGGAGAAAGTCTCGCTGACCAGAATCCCCTCAGGACGAACACTGGGAGAGGCACCTGGGTGAGCAGCTTGTTGACTGCTGAGATCTGTAAGGGTCAGGCTGCATCAGCCACGGGTGAGTCCACATGGCTTTCCTAGGACAGTGGGTCCTGCAAAGGGCAAGGCCTTTCTTTTCTGAGTGGTCAGAACAAGTCTGCAGCCAGAGCTGAAAGCCTGGGGTCAGCAGCAGATACGAAGAGGCAGGCACACGGGGGCCTCCTCTGCCCTCTCCTTTTTCTTCTTCTGTTGTGGTTGTTTAGTCACTAAGTCGTGTCTGACTCTGCGACCCCAGGGACTGTAGCCCGCCAGGCTCCTCTGTCCATGGGATTTCCCAGGCAAGAATACTGGAGTGGGTTGCCATTTCCTTCTCCAGGGGATCTTTTTTCTCATAGCCTTTAATAAAAGTCCCCCAAATAAGGAGCATTCATTTGCTAATGAAGCATCAAAATCATTAGCCTATCCAGGGATCCTACAATCTCCTTTTAGATCTGAATAAACAAGTATATTTCTTTTTTTCCTAAAATGAAACAGAAAGCCTTTTCTATAACAAATTCTAGTCCTCATTGTAATTCAGATCCTCAGTCCTCTTTTCTATTTTTGGCTTCACCATCAAAATGATGCTCCGTGATGACAGGACAGCGGCAGCAACCTCAAAGAATCTTTAGCAGGGAGGAAACGTAAAAGAGATATTCCAATAATAATTCAAAAGGTGGGAACCATCTCCCACTCATTCTCAGAACTGGCTGGTGAAGAGGTGGTAGAGGTTTCAGAGGAGTACAGTTTCACAAACTGATAAAACAAACTGACCCATTTCCCGCTCAATTACTTTAATTCATTCCTGACAACCTTGCTATTAAGTGAAAAGCTGTTAAATTTTAATAGAAGGAAAGCAGAATATGTCCCATCACAGGCTAAGATACCCTAGTAATTTTATAGATGCAATGAAAACAAGTGAATTTAGGTTAAAAAAATGTAAGTAAGTTGTACATTTTGAGTAAAAAGAGTGATCCGCCGAAAGTTTATCATGCTCTTTCTTTTTCTGACACTTCCTTCATTAATTTTTAACTCTTTGCTTGCTAAAAATTATCTTGAACTTAAGAGTAATGTTCTATCACAGATAATTACCTTTACAGACAAATGTAAGCTAAACACAAGAGAGCCTCAAAACACAGAGAAACAGCCATCAAGAGGTAGAGAGATGACACCCATTCCCCTTCTGCTTGGCGTGTAAATGCAGATCGAGATCCTGGCCAGCATCCAAAGACTGGACATAGTTCACATTGCTTAATCTGCTAGTTTCTGACTTGAAATTGTTCAATCAAGAAAATTGGTGAGATTTCTTCACCAGAAAATCTAATATTACAATATTACTTCTTATATTTATTTGGTGTGGTCTTGGATGAAAACAATTCACCCCCTCCCCCCAAAAAAGCACTCATTGTTCAAAGAGTACTGCTAGAGACTGAACACTTGTAAATGCCCCAAATCAGCTGCAGCCCTGATCCCCCAACCTAATGGTATTTGGAGGTAAGCCCTGTGGGAGGTGATTGAGGGGGGTCATGAGGATGTGGCCCCCACAATGGGACCAGTGCTTTCCTAAGAAGAGGAAGAGATTCCAGACCTTCTATTCCTCTCTCTCCACCACTGGCACCTTGACCTTGGACTTCCCATCTTCTCTTCCCAGAGAAATAAAAGTTTGCTGTGTACATCACCCAGTACAACATTGTTGTACATTGTTACAACAGCTGAACAGATTAAAACAAGTCCTGTAGCTTTTCAAGTGCTATTATAATAGATGTCATCAACTGAGTCTCCATTGTGTAACATGAATCTGAAACACACAGTTTACTTTCTTTTTTCTATTTTCTTGGCATTGAAGAATTCTGACCAGACTACACTACAAGACTATAGTAATCAAAACAAAAATACTAATGTACTTCAATGGAACAAGATAGAAAGTTCAGAGATAAACCCATGCCCATAATCTATGACAAAGGAGAAAAGACAGGCTCTTCAATAACTGGTGCTTGGAAAACTGGACAGCTACTTGTAAAAAAACTGAAACTAGAACATTCTCTAACACCATACACAAAAATAAGCTCAAAATTGATTAAACACCTAAATGTAAGATAAGATTCTATAAAACTCCTAGAGGAAAACATAGGCAGAATACTCCCTGACATAAATTGCAGTGAGGTCTTTTTTGATCCATCTCCTACAGGAGAAAAAATAAAAACAAAAACCATTGGTCTTAATTAAACTTAAAGGTTTTCCACAGCAAAGGAAACCATAAACAAAACAAAAAGACAATGCATAAAATGGGAGAAAATAATTTTCAAATGAAGCAATTGACAAGGGATTAATTGCCAAAATATCCAAACGCTCATGCAGGTCAATATAAAAAAAAAAAATCAAAACAACCTAACCAAAAAATAGATGGTAGATCTAAATAGACATTTCTCCAAAGAAGACATAAACACAACCTCAAAAACATGAAAAGACTCTCAGCATCACTAATTATTAGAGAAGTCCAGATTGAAACAACAATGAGGTTATTACCTCACACTGGTCAGAATGGCCATCATTAAAAAAAAATCTACAAATAATAAATGTTGAAGATGATACGGAGTAAAGGGAACCCGCCTGCAATGTTGGTGGAAATGCAAACTGCTGCAGCTACTGTGGAGAAGAAGCTGGAGGTTCCTTAAAATATAGAGCTACCGTATAATCCATCAGTCCCACTCCTGAGCATTTATCTGGAGAAAACCATAATGTGAAAAGATGCATGCACCCCAGTGTTCACTGTAGCACTGTTTTCAACAGACAAGACACAGGAGCAACCTGAATGTCCATCAACTGATGAAAGGATAAAGATGTGGTACATATACACAATATACTCCAGCCATTAAAAATGAATGAAATAATGCCAATGTAATGACATGGATGGACCTAGAAATTACCATACTGAGTGAATTAAGTCAGACAGACAAAGACACCCAGTTTATGTGCCATTCTCCTTCCCCTCTCGAGGTTCTCCTTGGAGGTGTTGACTATGAAATGGCCTGGCAGAGAGATGGAAGGGAATTCCCTATTGACTTAAAAAAAAGCTTTGGTAACAGATTTGATGTCTCTCATCGTTTTCAGTGATTACAGTTGCTCACTTTCTTATTATTGGGTTTTGATGTGTGTGCATGCTAAGTTGCTTCAGTTATGTCCCACTCTTTGCGACCCTAGGGACTGTAGCCCGCCAGGCTCCTCTGTCCATGGGATTTTCCAGGCAAGAATACTGGAGAGGGTTGCCATGCCCTCCTCCAGGGGATCTTCCCAACCCAGGGATCGAACCTATGTCTCTTTATGTCTCCTGCAAAGGCAAGCAGGTTCTTTGCCACTAGCATCACCTAGGAACCCCTTAGATGTCAATACTAAATACCATTAGTCTGTGGAAGTTACTCACGTCCATCAAAAGTGAAATTTCAGAATATCAGTCCAAAGTTCTATTTCTCTGTGGTCTGAACCATCTAAGCAAAGGATCTATCTGTACAGCAAACAGCCCTGGAAGCTGGAGATGATAATACATTCCTCTGGAGAGACCTGGAGACACACTAAGATAGAAAAGATTGATTGCTTCTCTTTCCTCTCTGGAGAGATTTTCTTACATTCCCAGGGGTTGAGTAAGCTTTCACTCTAAACGGAAAGATGGGCGGATGTGCCAGCAGCCCCATAAAAGCTTCAAGTCTCCTAATTTTTCAGGCTGTTCTGGAGATCCGCACCTGACGAGTATCGCGTTGTCTTGCGGGAGTCAGGGCACATGGATGTGGCGAAGGCTGCTGTAGCAGTGGGCGTCTCAGACTCTGACTTGAGAGTGTGGTCTCCTCAGCAGTAAAAATACCCAAAACCATGCGGAGCTAACTTGTTTGTAATTAGGGCAACATCTCAGACGTTCCACAGTATCTGATTTAACACCCAGTCTGGGATTCCCTGGTGGCTCAGAAGGTAAAGTCTGCCCGCAATGCAGGAGACCCAGGTTCAATCCCTGGGTCGGGAAGTTCCCCTGGAGAAGAAAATGGCAACCCACTCCAGTACTCTTGCCTAGAAAATCCCATGGATGGAGGAGCCTGGTGGGCTACAGTCCATGGGGTTGCAAAGAGTTGGACACGACTGAGCAACTTCACTTTGATAAAGTCAAGGAAAGTGATTAGGCATTACTCTGACACATTCTCCCACAAACACAGCTCTGTGATATGATATGGACTATAGCGAAATACACTCTTAATTTTAAAATAACATCTCGTACTGAGAAAAAATGTGTTTCTCTGGTGGCTCAGCGGTAAAGAACCTGACTGACGAGGCAGGAGATGCGAGTTTGATCCCTGGCTCAGGAAGGTCCCCTGGAAAAGGAAATGGTAACCCACTCCAGTATCCTTGCCTGGGAAATCCCATGGACAGACAGCCTGGTGTGCTATAGTCCACGGGGTTGCAAAGAGCCCTACATAAATTAGTGGCCAAACAACAACAATTGAGAAAAATACATTAAATATCACCAGGAGTTAATTCAAGACTTTTTTTTTAAATGGAAACTGGCTAATTTTGCTTCAGCGTCATTTTATATAGACTTAACTTCAGGGTTTCTTGACTGATACAGACTAATGATATGATTTATCTTTTCTAACAATCATTTGGTAAGATGGTATCTCTTTATCTATTTCCTTTTGTTTGCAAGAACAAAAATCTTACGTGTCAAACTCCAAGCATTTGGCAAGTATTTATATGAAGCTATTTCAACAAGGAAATGATGCTCTGATTCAAGTGATATTCTAAATCCCCTAAAATAGGTTTGCCCTTTCTGGATGATGGTGTTTATTGCTCACAGCCACTGCATCACTTTTATGTTGACAGAGTGGGTGAAGAATTCTTGATCCTGGGAAGCGAAGCCTCTCCCAACCTCTGGGGACAAACCAGAGATGATGATTCCTCTTTGCCAGTGATGGGCTGGAGAGACAAGTGATCTACTTCTGGCTAAAGAGATGTAAGGAAAAGTTGGGAAGAGGCATGCAATTCCAAACCAAGTGAAAAGAGCCAGCCTTCCCGGAGAAGGCCTTTGCGCTTTTGATCATCCTTTGGACTATGGACTTGAGGCTGTGTTTGTCACAGCCACGTGCGGACAAGGGTTCAAGATGTGCAAGCAGAGCCTTGGGAAGAGCTGAGCCCCTGAGAGCCCCGTGCAGTGGCTGAGCCAACCCAAACAACCCTGGCCAACCACCTTCTCCCTCCACAGAAAAAATAAACTTTTGCTCATTGAAACCACCCCCCAAATCAGTTTTTCTGGTTAACAATTGAACATGTTCATAATTGATGCGCAGGGAGGGCTTATGGAGAAGACATGTTGGTAAGAAAATAACTCAGTAATTTACGTACTACCTCAGCATTTTCATTTTAAAGTATTAAATCAGTATAAAATAGTCTGTAATATTGTTTTTTTAACCCAAATCCAACACAAAGGCACATTCAACTGTTCTTTTGTTGCAGGGTTATCACTAACGAATCTAAAATTTGGCTTTTCAACCATATGGGTATATTTTATTAACAAGATTATTATCCCAATTTTCCTTCAGATGCAGGAATGACATTGCTGCTTTACATAGTTTTCCTTTTCTAGTGGTATTTGGAATAAATATTTGGTATGTGGTATTTGGATCAACCTGTTTTTCTAAATAATTAATGAGTTCTAAAAGAAACATAGTTAAAAAAAACACAACCTAATAGTTTACCAAGGCCACTTGCTCTGAGCAAAACAGAGCCTCAGTAGTTGTTTTTTCTTTTCTGAAAAATAAAGCAAAATAAAATTTTAAATCTTCCTATTGCAGACAGCTTCCACCACCAATCAAATTTGGCACATGATATAAAACACGTAGAACCTTCATCCCATGGTTTAGCAGTTAATACAAACTGGATCATTTAGCTTCATTTTAATCAATCAGCAGTTAATTTAAGAATGAGCCTTTTATTTCCCTTATGATCTCCAGGTAAAAAAGTAAAATAAGGCCACTACTGCTAACAACTCATTGATGTCATAATCACACTGATTCTATGACCACATAACAGAAAAAGCTTTCCATAACATCATTAATTTATAAGTTGAATAATAAGTTTGCTATTTAATGTCTTTTGCTATAGAAATTGCAAATAATTAACTGAAGATGCAAATAATTTCAGTTGACTCATTGATTATTTATATATTTGAATGTATATGTATTCATGCCTTCCCAGGTGACGCTAGTGGTCAGGAACCTGCCTGCCATTGTAGGAGACACAGGAGACGCAGGTTCGATGCCTGGGTCAGGAAGATCCCCTGGAGGAGGGCACGGCAATCCACTCGAGTGTCCTTTCCTAGAGAATCCCACAGACAGAGGAGCCCGAGGGGCCACAGTCTCTAGGATGAGAATCCCACGGACAGAGGAGCCCGAGGGGCCACAGTCTCTAGGATGAGAATCCCACAGACAGAGGAGCCTGAGGGGCCACAGTCTCTAGGATGAGAATCCCAAGGACAGAGGAGCCCGAGGGGCCACAGTCTCTAGGATGAGAATCCCATGGACAGAGGAGCCCGAGGGGCCACGGTCTCTAGGATGAGAATCCCATGGACAGAGGAGCCCGAGGGGCCACAGTCTCTAGGATTGCACAGAGTCGGACATCACTGAAGCAACTTAACACATGTGCATTCAAACACATATATGTATGTGATCTTCATAGACAAATGTATATTATACATATACGTTTTCAAGCTCCTGAATAGCTCAGAGGAAAGGAAGATAAAGGGGAAAAAAGTCTTTTCGGCCAAAATTTAGAAACTGGCAATCAAATGTGGAATTTATCAGTGCACAAGGATGTAAGGGAAAGAATGTCAACTTTGCAGTTGGATTTGAGTCCTAAGTTATGATACTTAACTTTATACAGTTACCATGAGGTAACATCTTGTTAGCTGCCAGAACATGACAGACCCTCAGTAAATGCTGGTTCCCTTTTCTTTTGGTTAGAACGAGACAATAAACTCTTAAGGGGAGCAATTATTCCCTGACATCTCTATATCCACAGACTTCAGCTTACACATAAAACCAATGTTCACATTTAATAAAACTAATGGTTCATCAGTCACTTTGAAAGGGCAAGAGTGCTATGATTGGCTGGTAGTGTCCATGATGGACAGACTTTCCTTTCAGCAGGCTTTGAAGCATGCCTCTTGGGCACCTCCAGACTATGACATATGGAAGGAGACAGAATGAAAAACCTATTCATGATGAAGACTGTTGGGGCGGTGGCAACGTCAGCTCTGGCAGCAGTGTTCTATACTCCAACTCCCAGAGTCCAGTTCATTTCCAGACCTCAAGGTGAAATTTTGCCTGGAGTTGAATAAACAGAAATACCTCCTCTGAGGATTAAAAAAAAATCTACATACAAATTAAAGAAATGATCTGTTACAATTTTTCTTCAGAATTGTTCTGAATGATGCAAATGCTATTAAAATAAAATAAAGAAGTAGAGACAGAGATTTCTCATTTGACCATTGAAGCAACCTCAAGAAGGAAAATGCATTATTCTTTGACTTGAATGCTAAACACAGTATAAATACCTGTCCCATCCTATAAAAGAGAATGGAGATTCTAACCCTTCTGTAGCACACCTTTGAGATGAAAGGATCGAAATCCTTCAGATCTCTTGAATCTGGATCATTCATTTCATCCACATTTGTATTCTGTCTATGCTTCTGTGTGTGTGTGTGTGTGTGTGTGTGTGTGTGTGTGTGTATGCATGTGTAATCTTAACTGCTATAATCATGGCAGCAACCTCTGCCACAGCCCTGGTGAAGGCTGGGGGCTTGAGAGACAGCAGTCTTTCTGCCTTGGTCTCTTTTCAGCAAAGCTGGTGGGAACTAATCATCCTGCCAAAGGCTCCATCATTACGGACATGAGAGTTATCACTTGTCACCTTTAATATTTTTAGTGACTCATATCTGAAATTATATCAAAGGCCTGACCCATTTACCTCTGGTGCATTGCTGGCATCTGAGACTTGATAAAAAAAACTCATAGCTTTGGCTTATTGCAGTAGGCTGATGATCACGATTATGTAAAAGTCATGGTGCAAACGATATTAAATATTGTCTTAGAATGAAGGACAGTGTGTAGGGCACACTGTAATTATAATAACCATATAGAGAAAGAGAGCATACTGAATCAAGAAAAAAATTCCTACCAATAGAGGAAATACTTTAGAAGTACTTTATAAAATATTTAACATTAGATTTGCAAGTATTTTCATTTCTAGAAGGATACTGGATGAGATATCTAAAATGTTCTTTTACTAAAGAACTAAAATCCTGGGGGAAAAGAAGTTCAAAAGCCTTCTAGGACTGCCCTGGTGGTATGCGGCTAGGAATCCACCTGCCAGTACTGGGACCTGGGTTTGATCCCTGGCCCGGGAAGGTCCCACAGACAGGGCAGCGGCTGACCCCACCTGCCTGACTGCTGTGCCCTGCAGTCTCCAGGGTCCCCAGACCACCACCACTGAATCCACGTGCTGCAACTACTGAAGTCCACAAGCCCTAGAGCCATCAAACTGCAACGACAGAAGCCTGTGTGCCTAGAGCCCGTGCTCAGCAAGAAGAGAAGCCGTCACAGGGAGAAGCTTGAGCACCTCACCAGGGAGGAGCCCCGCTCACTGTAACTAGAGACAAGTCTGAGCCTGGCAACGAAGACCCAGCGCAACCATAAGTTAATGAATTAATTTTAAAAATTTCAAGCTTTCTAACTGTGTCATGGAACTAGCAATAAATAAATCAAGGAATCCACAGAGCAAAAGCAGAAACTGGGGAAATCGGTGGCAAGGGGC